GCGGCCGCGGTTCATCCGGCGCGCCCCCGGCAGCAGCAGGCACAGCTCCTGCCCGGGGGGGCACGGGGGGGTCAGTGGGGACAGCGCCGCGCTGGGCTGGGGTCCCGCTGTGTCCCCAAAGCCCCCCAGAGAGACACCCTTTGTCCCCAGAGCCACACCCAGCACTGACCACACCCAAAACCAACCACACCCACCTGAGCCACACCCAGCACTGACCACACCCAAAACCAACCCCACCCACCTGAGCCACACCCACCTGAGCCACACCCAGCACTGACCACACCCAAAATTGCTCCACCCACCTGAGCCACGCCCAGCACTGACCACACCCAAATTTGTTCCACCCACCTGAGCCACACCCAAAACTGGCTCCACCTACCCCAGAGCCACACCCAGCACTGACCACGCCCAGCACAGAGCCACACCCCAAACTGGCTCCACCCACCTGAGCCACACCCACCCCAGAGCCACACCCCAAAACAACCCCACCCACCTGAGCCACGCCCACCCCAGGCCACGCCCACCCCAGGCCACGCCCACCTTGGCGAAGAGCCGCAGGCGGGCGCTGGGGTCCCGTGACGTCGTCACCATCACCTTGGGGGGCTCCAGCCCCGCCCACCTGTACTCGTCATCCTGGCTGTCACCTGTTCCTGGGGGCGGGGCTTTGTCAGGCCACGCCCACTGCAGCCACACCCACCCCAGAGGTCAATTTGGGGTCAATTCCCCCGGTTCTGGGGGGATTTGGGGAGGGGGATGGATTTAATTCCCATTTTGGGGAATTCACGGCTCATTTTGGGGGGGTGAGGCCCAGCTTTGGGGTGCAGCCCCCCACTCATTTTGGGGTGAATTTAATCTTATCTTAATTTAAAATTTAAAATTTAAATTTGAATTTTAAAACCCACACATAACCCCAGGAAACGTGGGAAATCTGATCTTCAAACTGAGGGATTCTTTCAGGCATTTTTTGGGTTTTTTCCTCTTTTTCCAGGATTCCCCTCTCCCCATTTTGGGCTCCAGCTCAGCACTCAAGGCCCTTACCCACCCCTGGGTTTGGAAGTTCCAATCTCCCCCAATTTGGGGGTCCCTCTCCCCACCCTCCCCCCGATTTGGGGGTCCCTCTCCCCACCCTCCCCCCCGATTTGGGGGTCCCGCTCACCCCCCGGTGCCTCGAAGTCGAACTCGAGCTCCTTCTGCAGGGCCAGCGCCTCGTGCCGCAGCTCCGTGGGCAGCAGCCGGTTCTCTGGGGTGGGGAGAGAAACGGGGGGCTCGGACAGGACCCCCCAACCCAGTACCCCACCCCTAAATACAGCCCCCAGCCCCAAATAAACCCCTGGGCCTGCAGCACCGCCAGCCTCCCCTCTTAAAAACCCCAAATATCTCCCCAAAACCCTTAAACTCCTCTCCACCCTTCCTCCACTGCTCCAAATCTCCTCTGCTGCCCCCAGCCCCATTTCCACACCCCTGCAAGCTCTCCTAGCTCCTCCCAACCCCCCTGGACCCCTCCCCAAATCCCTGCCGGCCCCTCTGGGTCCCCTCCCGGTGTCCCGTCCCGGTGTCCCCTCCCGGTGTCCCGTCCCGGTGTCCCATCCCGGTGTCCCCTCCCGGTGTCCCCTCCCGGTGTCCCGGTACCGTCCAGCGCTCTCCGCAGGCTCTCCCTGCGCTCCCGCTGCCGCTGCTGCTGCTGCTCCCTCGCCCGGCGCTGCAGGTACTCCCGGCGCTCCCGGGCCTGGCGCCGCAGCTGCGGGGACACACGGGGATAGAGGGGTGGCACCGGCGGGGACACACGGGGACACCAGTGGGGACAGACGGGGACACACGGGGATAGAGGGGTGGCACCGGCGGGGACACACGGGTGACACCGGCGGGGACACACGGGGACACGCGGGGACACCGGTGGGGACAGACGAGGACACACGGGGACACCAGTAGGGACAGACGGGGACACACGGGGACACCAGTGGGGACACACGGGGACACACGGGGTGGTACCGGCGGGGACACACGGGTGACACCGGCGAGGACACACGGGGACACCGGTGGGGACACACGGGGACACACGGGGACAGAGGGGTGGCACCGGCGGGGACACTCGGGGACAGACGGGGACATTGGGGACAGCGCGTGAAGGCTGAGGGACGCGTGAGGGGACATGGGGGGGCGTGAGGGCCCGCTGTGGGGGACATGGAAATGAGAGGATGGGGACACGGAGAGGAGGTCGGAGGCGCCAGCAAGGGACAGGAGGACTCGGAAGGGACACAGGGGACACGAGGGGGACACACGGGGGACACGAGGGGGACACGGGACCACCGATCCAACTCCCCCGCCCCCCTCACCATGGTCGCGGCCGCTCCGCGCCGCTCCTCACACGCCGCCGGCACCTCCCAGCACCGCCGCCTCCCATTGGCCGAGAGCCGGCGGACCAATGGGAGCACGCGGTGCTGCCGGAAATGGGCGGGAAACGCTGCGCCCTCACTCAAGATGGCGGCCGGGCCGGCGTCACCCCGCCATGTTGTCGGCCCTCACGAAGGTCCCGCCCCCAAGGCGGGCGGGCGCGCTGATTGGTCGAGAGGTCCCGGCGCGGGCTGCGATTGGACGAGGCGGGGCCGGGCCTGAGGCCGCGGTGAGGGCGGCGATGGACGGTGAGGGAGGGCCGGGGGGCTCGGGGGGGGGTTCGGCTCTCTGAGGGCCCGGAGGTGCTTGGGGGGGTCTCCGGGAAGGGTTGGGGGTCCCGGGCGTGCTTGGAGGGGTCCCGGGGCTGCTTTCGGGAGTCTCCGGGGAACTGAGGGTGTTTTTGGGTGTCTCCGGGGATACTGGGGGGGTCTCTGAGGGCCCGGGGGGTGACACGGGTGACTCCGCGGGGACACCGGGCCGGTCCCTGGGCGGGGGGCGGCGGTTTTGGTGGGTCTGGGGGATCACCCCGGGTGCTGTGAGGGACCCTGAGCCCGTCCCCCCTTCCCAGGGTCGCTGTCGCTGTCCCTGGATGCGGCCGCGCTGGAGGTGCTGGAGGCGCTGGAGCTGCTGCAGCAGCGGCGGGAGCAGCTGGAGCAGCACCTGCGACAGGTGAGGGGACAGGAGGGGACAGGAGGGGGGACACAACGGGGACAGAACGGGGACACAAAGGGACACGCCACAGGGCCGTGTGCTCCCTGTGTCCCCCTCAGTGTCCCCAATGTCCCCTCAGGGCTGGCTGTCCCCCCCAATGTCCCCAGTGTCCCCTCAGGGCTGGCTGTCCCCCTCAGTGTCCCCAATGTCCCCTCAGGGCTGGCTGTCCCCCTCAGTGTCCCCAATGTCCCCTCAGGGCTGGCTGTCCCCCTTAGTGTCCCCAATGTCCCCTCAGGGCTGGTTGTCCCCCCCAATGTCCCCAATGTCCCCTCAGGGCTGGCTGTCCCTGGCTCAGGCCCGTTACTCCCTGGGCTGTCACCGCGTCTCGTCCCTGCAGTACGGGGCCACCATGGTGCCCCGGGTCCGTGTGTGCCACAGGTGGGGGACATCGGGGGACAGGGGACACTGTGGGGGACACTGGGACACTGGGGGGGACAGGGGACACTGGGGGATAGTGGGACATTGGGGGGGACATTGAGGGGACAATGGGACATTGAGGGGACAGCGGGACATTGAAGGGACAGCAGGACACTGGGGGGGACAGTGGGGGGACAATGGGACATTGAGGGGGACAGTGGGACACTGGGGGACAGTGGGACACTGGGGGATAGTGGGACATTGGGGGGGACATTGAGGGGACAATGGGACATTGAGGGGACAGCGGGACATTGAAGGGACAGTGGGACATTGGGGGGGCAGTGGGATATTGAGGGGACAGTGGGACACTGGGGGACAGTGGGACAGTGGGGAGGACACTGGGGACACTCAGTGGGGGGTGACAGGGACACAGGGGTGGACACGATGACGTTGGGGACACGCTGGTGGTGACACAAAGGGGTGTCCCCAGACTGGGGAGGTGACGGGGGGGTGACACCGGTGTCCCCAAGGGGTGGGGGGAGGTTTATGGGTGCAGGGGGGTGACGGGAGGGGCGGCAAAGGGACACCAGGGGACAGAGGTGACGCTGTCCCCGCTGTGTCACCCCCAGGCAGGACCCAGAGGGACGCCCCCACTTTGAGGAGGTGCCTGGAACAGGGGGGGACCCCGAGGACCCCGACCCCCAGCAGGGGGGGGGTGACGGTGAGGGGGGGCCGGGGGGTCCCTGGGGGGGTCCCTGGGGGTGGGGGGGGTCCCCAAAAGGTCCCCAGTGGGTGCTGGGGGTTCTGGGGATGTCACCTGTGGGTGCTGGGGGGGTCCTGGGGGGTCCTCACCTGTTTTTGGGGGGGGGTCTCTGACCTTTCTCTCTCCCCCAGGGCTGCGGCAGCGCCGGGGGGCCCCGGAAAAAGGGGGGGTCCCCAGCCGGCCCCCCCAGGACCCCCTGGGCTGGTTTGGGGTCCTGGTGCCCCCCAGTCTGCGGCAGGCCCAGGGCAGCTTCCAGAGGGGTGAGGAACTGGGAGAACTGGGAGGAGCTGGGGCGAACTGGGAGAAACTGGGGGAACTGGGGAGAACTAGGAGAAACTGGGGAGAAAAGGGGGGAACTGGGGGACCCCCAAAAACCAGTGAGGGTCCCCAAACCCGAGGAATCCCAAGAACGGGGAGAACGCCCCAAATCTGGGGCGTCCCCAAAACCGGGGAGGGCCCAAAGGTCACGACCCCCATGACCTCCTGGGTGTCCCCGGTGTCCCCAGGGGTGACGCTGGCAGTGGAGGTGGCCGAGCTCCAGGCCGGGCTGGAGGCCGCAGCAGCGCGGTACCGGCAGCTCCTGCGGCACAAACGTCACCTGGCTGGGGACAGCGGGGACAGCCAGACCCCCACGGACACCCCTGGGGACACCGACGGGGACACGGCGTGACACCGAGAACACCTGGACTCGTCTGCAGGTGACACGGGGGGACACGGGTGACACAGGGGGACACAGGTGACACAGGGGGGACACGGGTGACACGGTGGGGGGACACACACGGGGACACCGGTGACACGGGGGGGGACACCGGTGACACGGGGCCGTGCTGACTCTTGGCAGGTGACACAGCTGCCACCAGGGACAGGGGGACAGCAGCACCCACCTGTGGGTGACACCGAGGACGCTGCAGGTGACACCGAGCCCCGCACCTGACTGAGGGGAGGGGGTCCCCTCGTGTCCCCACCCCCAATAAAGCCACCGTGGTGTCCCCGAGTTGCCGCCATCCCGGTGCCACCGCGGGGGTCGCTTTGTCACCGCTGTCACGTGCCACCACAGGGCCATTTGTCACCGCTGTCACGTGCCACCACTCAGTGCCACCACAGGGCCATTTGTCACCACCACCACGTGCCCACCACACCCTCACCACGTGACTCAGCCACGCCCTCTTTTTTTGCCAAGGTCTATATTTATTGGGTGGGACCCAAGCCCCGCCCCCCCAAAGCCCCGCCCCCACCCGAGGCGGGGGGGCGGGGCCGACACAACAACGACTATGGGAGAGGGGCGGGGCGTGACCGGGGGGCGTGGCCCGTGCGGGGGGCGTGGCCCGTGCGGGGGCGGGGCCGGGCGGAGGGGGCGGGGCCGAGGGGCGCCCCCTAGCGGATGGTGTAGCGCACGTAGGGCACCTCGATGTCGGCGTCGCTGTCGTCGTTGCAGCACAGCTCGAACACCAGAGCCTTGACGTGGCGGCCCAGCTTCTTCTTGGACACCCGCGTGACGATCTCCGACATCCTGAGGGGACAGGGGACGTCAGGGACGGGGCAGGGACACGGCAGGGACATTGGGGACACGGCAGGGACGCGGCAGGGACGTTGGGGACAGGGTAGGGACATTGGGGACACGGCAGGGACACGGCAGGGACGTTGGGGACACGGCAGGGACATCAGGGACATTGGGGACACGGCAGGGACATTGGGGACAGGGTAGGGACATGGCAGGGACATCAGGGAGAGGGTAGGGACATGGCAGGGATGGGGGACGCGGCAGGGACACGGCAGGGACATTGGGGACATTGGGGACATGGCAGGGACATGGCAGGAACATCAGGGACAGGGTAGGGACATGGCAGGGACATTGGGGATGGTTCCTGTCATCCTGAGGGGACAGGGGACGTCAGGGACAGGGGGGACACGGCAGGGACACCAGGGGCAGGGCCCTTCCTGCCCTACTCCGGGACGACCCAACGTCCCCGGTGTCCCCCAGTGTCCCCCCAGTGTCCCCCCAATGTCCCCAGTGTCCCCAAATGTCCCCAATGTCCCCGCAGTGTCCCCAGTCTCCCCCAGTGTCCCCCCCTACGGTTGGTCGTGGCGCTCGCGCAGTTTTGCTGCCGGCATGAAGAAGGAGTAGAGCATGGACACGCCCTGGGACAGCATCGTGATCTCCAATGTCTGTTCCTTCTGTGGGGACACGGGGACACGGGGAGGGGACATTGGGGACATCGGGGACACGGGGAGGGACACACGGGCTCAGTGGGGACACCGGGGACATCGGCCACCACAGGGGCTCGACTGTTCCCCCTTCCCCAGCGCTCCCCTCTTGGCTGTGCCCCCTCCCAGTGTCCCCCAGTCCCTCCCAGTCCCCTCCCAGTCCATCCCAGTCCCTCCCAGTCCCCTCCCAGTCCCCTCCCAGTCCATCCCAGTGCCCCCCAGTACCTTGAAGTAGGCGAGGAACTGGCGCAGGGTCATCTCCTGCCCGTCGGGCTGCAGCCCCTGCACCTCGAACCGGTCCCACAGCGTCCACTCGACCTCGTAGTACTGGGGACACGGCGTGGGGGGGGGTCAGAGCCGGCGGGGGGACCCCAAAACCCCCCCGGGACCCCAAAACCCCCCTGGGAGCCCAAATCCCCCCTGGGAGCCAGGCCTGGCCCCACTGAGACCCCCAAAACCCTCTGGGATTGATGCTCAGCCCCACTGTGTGACCCCAAATCCCCCCTGTCCACACCCCCCTGGCCCCCCCTTGACCCCAAACCCCC